ATCTCTGGGTCCTCCCCTTTTCTTTCCCAGACCACCTTCCCTCACTTCCACTGCCGGGAAACCGGTTCCGCCAGAGATCTTGATCTCTGCCCCTCTGGGCGAGTGGTTATCCTTGACCACTTCTGTTCCAGCTGGTCCCAGGATCGCTGTTGGAGTGCTGGATGGAGCCTTTCTCTGTCCTCTGTGACATTTCCAATTTTAGATAATGCCTCACATCTCTGCCCCCCCGGGACCCCCTGAAGTCCCCATGATCCCGAAGAAGACAGCTTGAACCTAGGTGAGTCCGCCCCTCTCTAAAATTGGGAGGGAGGTTCTCCAGAGACTCCTTTGGAAAGGACCTGAATGATGTAAGCATCCTTGGGGGTGGGGACTGAGAGTAATTGGTCTGAGTGGTTTGGAGAGGAGGTGGAGGAGAGTGAAACTTAGGCTGGAACTGGCAGGTGGTAGGGCTGCTGGTGGTTACATTCTGTTTCTTTTCCGCGCATGACTGTACACCTGTGTGCTCCCTTCTGTGACTTTGCTCTTTGTGTCTTTTCCTCTCAACTCTTGGCACCACCTTGGCTCGTAACTGATGATCTCTCTGCTGGCTTGCTCTTCGCTGCCTGCCCCCAGAACTCTCCTCTCTCCCTCCTCAGACCTGAGCCCAGGATGTTGCGGAGGCTGCTGGAGCGGCCCTGCACACTGGCCCTGCTTGTGGGCTCCCAGCTGGCTGTCATGATGTACCTGTCACTGGGGGGCTTCCGAAGCCTCAGTGCCCTATTTGGCCGAGAGCAGGGGCCGACATTTGACTATTCTCATCCACATGACGTCTACAGTAACCTCAGTCACCTACCTGGGGCCCCTGTTGCCCCAGGGGCCCCTCCAGCTCCTCAAGGTCTGCCCTACTGTCCAGAACGATCTCCTCTTTTAGGTGAGTGCAGAAAGGAGGAGGAGGTAAAGGGAAGGCCAGGGTGTGGGGACAGGGCTAGGGCGGCAGGCGTGAGATTTAGGACCTGGGGTTAATGTAACCAAAGGTGGGCAGAGGTTGAGATCAGCAGGCTCTGGATTTGGAATTTAGATCGGACTCCTGGGTTGAGCCACAACCTTTCATTGCCCGGCCATTCATGTGCTCTTGCTGCCTTAGGCCGGGGATTGCATCTTTTATAGATGAGCCCCGGGTTAGTTAGTTAGTTGGAGGCCCTTCTGTGTTCTCCATCTTCTAACCTAGTGAGGCAGGAGTTGTGGAACCCTAAAATAAGATAGGCTAAGTAAAGAGCCTGCGCCTTTCAGACTTTGCAAAGCTGTTCCAATGATGGGAAGCTCAAGGTGTGTAGATTTCTGTGTAAGCCCTTGGGGGAGCAGAGTCCGAGAACCAGACTGCCGGGGCCAGCAGTGTTCCCAGGCCCTGCAGGTCCTTCTTTTCTCGTCGCCCCTCTAATCCCTGACCTCGCCATTCCCTCCCAACAGTGGGTCCCGTGTCCGTGTCCTTTAGCCCAGTGCCGTCACTGGCAGAGATTGTGGAGAGGAATCCCCGGGTGGAACCGGGGGGCCGGTACCGCCCCGCCGGGTGTGAGCCCCGCTCCCGAACAGCCGTCATTGTGCCCCACCGGGCCCGGGAGCACCACCTGCGCCTGCTGCTCTACCACCTGCACCCCTTCCTGCAGCGTCAGCAGCTTGCTTACGGCATCTATGTCATCCACCAGGTACTCCCAACCTCCTCCACTCGGACTTTCCGGTAAGGAAGCCTCGAGGAAATGCCGCACCGCTCTCCCGACTGTGGGTCCCGGGAATCATTTTAAGAGGGTCAGACTGTTGAATGTGGAGAAGCACCTGGCCCTGCTCTGCCAGCTTGTTAGCCCCTAGTCCTCTTTACTCTGTTCAGGGTATTCCGACTGCCCTGTACTCTCCATGATGGTTCCTTGGTTGAATTGGGAATGGCACAAATTTGGAATTGGACAGATGTGGACTAAAATCAGTTCTGCCATTTGTCCCATATGTGACCTTGAACAAGATTCTTAACCCCCTAAAGTGAGGCAAAGAATGAAAACTAATAGACACCTGTGTTCCATGGCTGTTGGTTGTCAGGATTAAATGCTAAACAGTAGCATGTAAGTAATCAGGCACATACTGATGCTCAAAAACGATTTGTTGGATGAAAAAATGAAAGTTTGGCTTTCTCTTCATGCTTGCCCCACCCCCCCTCGATCCCCCTCCTCTCACTTTTTTTCTTCCCCCCCCCCCCCCCCCCTTCTCCATGCTGCTACCTACAGATGTGGTCTGGTTCTTCTCCATTACCTTCCAGGCTGGAAATGGAACATTTAACAGGGCCAAGCTGTTAAACGTTGGGGTGCGGGAGGCCCTGCGTGATGAGGAGTGGGACTGCCTGTTCTTGCACGACGTGGACCTTCTGCCCGAGAACGACCACAATTTGTATGTGTGTGACCCCCGGGGACCCCGGCATGTTGCTGTTGCCATGAACAAGTTCGGCTACAGGTAGAGGGCATGAGAGGGTGCTGGGAAGTAGGGACACGCACCATCCATTGGAAGAAGGAGAGCCAAGGGGATTGTGGGGTAGGGATGTCTCCCCAAGAGACTCATGGAACCCAAGGATCTTTCTCTCCCTAGCCTCCCGTACCCCCAGTACTTTGGAGGAGTCTCGGCGCTCACTCCTGACCAGTACCTGAAGATGAATGGCTTCCCCAATGAATACTGGGGCTGGGGTGGTGAGGATGACGACATTGCTACCAGGTCAGACTTCCTGCCACCACTCCCCACCCCCACCTCGGCCTGGATCCATCCTCTGAGACCACCCCTGGCTCTAACCCTTTGACACCAGTCTTTAGCTTCTGGCTCCTGCACTGTGCCCATTCCTCTCCCTTAGCTTTTCCCATCTACCCAGGTTAGGCTTTTCGTGCTGTTCCCCATTCTGTCGCCCTTCAGTCTCCTAGATCTGTTGATTCTGTTTCTGGGAGAGAAAAGAAGATCAACAGGCTGTAGTAATCATGGGATTCCAGAGCTGGAAAGGGGCCTAGAGATACTTCAGTCCTGCCTTCTGCTAACGTTGCATCCAGACCACTTCCTATGGGGCTGTGGAGGAGGGGCTCTGCTCCATATCGCCCCGAATCGCTTTCCGGTTTTAAGTCTGTGCCATTGGCATGATGCCAGCTCATTTTTAGCATGTGAAACATTTTGACCTTCAGCCTCAGCTGACCCAATTTCCTATCTGTGGTGTGAAAATTTGGGCTTGCTGTGCTGGACCCCTTGCCTCCCCTCCCCCTCGTGTCCTCCAGATGACCTCTCTGAGTTCTTGTCCTCTGTATGTGTGTAAAGGACCCAGCAATTTCTAAATGTACGGAATTATTCCTTCAGTACTTTCCCAGGCCATCTTCAGTTCTTGCTTCTGTATGTCAGAGGTGGGGTCCTGATTACTTGGTTCCATTCTTTTCCTAACACTGAGGGTTGGGGGGGGTGCAGGGTGAGGGAGTCGAGGCAGCTCAGCCACTGTTCTAGGTAGGAATTGCTGAGCTTGGGTCTGCAACTCCTGGGCTTGTCCTGTCCTTCTGAGCAAATGCCGGGGCAGTTCCTGGGAGCCACTTAGAAAACAAAGATGGGAGGTGCGGACCTACCTGCCCGTTGTTAAAAGGCCAAAGGGTGCCCGGGCTTGGCTGTGTCCAGCCCTTACATTCTCTTGTGCCATTTCCTTTGCTCTGTTTGACTTTCTCTCTTCCAGTACGTGGTACTTTTTTTGCCTAACTAGTACTAGTCGCTGTGTACAGAAACATGTTGCTGCTTCCTCGGGGGCTGTAGCTCTCCCTGTTGACCTGTCAGCAGCTTTCCTCCACTTGGGGTCCTCCAAGGTGCCCTCGCTTTTCCCGCAGGGTGCGTCTGGCTGGGATGAAGATCTCTCGCCCCCCCACGTCGGTGGGGCACTACAAGATGGTGAAGCATCGAGGCGATAAGGGCAACGAGGAAAACCCCCACAGGTAGGGAGGGCTGCCTGGGCGTCGCTGTGGCTCCATAGGGTTCTGCACCCCCAGGGAAAGTACTGCATCCTAACGTTCCCTAGGTTCCTGGCTGTTTCTTTCTGGGCCTTAGTTCTCCAACCTCTGACCCTCAGATTTGACCTCCTGGTCCGTACTCAGAATTCTTGGACACAAGATGGGATGAACTCACTGACATACCGATTGCTGGCTCGAGAGCTGGGCCCTCTCTATACCAACATCACGGCAGACATTGGAACTGACCCTCGGGGCCCCCGGACTCCCTCTGGTCCCCGTTACCCACCGGGTTCCTCCCAGGCCTTCCGTCAAGAGATGCTGCAGCGCCGGCCCCCAGCCAGGCCTGGCCCTCTGCCTACCGCCAACCACACAGCCCCCCGTGGTTCCCACTGACTCCTCCTTCCTGCCCTCCTCAATCATGAAACTGAATCAGAGGGGTTGTACTCTCCCCACCCTCAGCTCCTCACTGGTCTTAGAGGGATGTGGGGGGATTGAACTCCAGGGCTGCGCTGGAGGCAAGGGCCTCTCCTCACTGCTGGACTGGAGCTGGGCTCCTTCAGTCCTGGGCGGTCCCTCTTTCTAGGGTCACCTGCTAGGGCTTATGACTGTGAATCCTTGATGTCATGATTTTATGTGATGACTCCTCAGAGTCCCTGGCCCCTGGGGTAAGAGCAGGGCTGGACCCCAAGTCCCTTCCTCTTCCGTGGAGAGAAGAGTGATCTGGCTTTTCCTGGGACCTCTGTGAATATTTATTCTATTTATGGTTCCGAGGAAGTACGTTTGGTAAAGGAAGCCCCTCCCTGGGTACTTTCTGCCAGTGCTGGAGTCACTTCCTCTTCTGGACCTGGCTCAGGGGGCTGGGATTTTGATATATTTTCTAATAAAGGACTTTGTCTTGCCTCTGCTCCTGCTTGCTACATCCCAAGCACCTTGTGCCTACCTTTGCGACCCGCTCCTCCACCCCCAGCGCCCCCACCCCCCGCCACCGTATGCCTGGAGGAACATACGGAACCACCAGACCCAGCCAAGCTCCAGCAACTTGTATTTTCGTGGGTAAAGCAGGGCGAGGAGGTGGGAGTTGGGGATCAGCCGTTAGGCTCCGAGCCCAGGACCCGGGCTGCTGCCTGGCGTCCACTCTCTATACAGTCATTGACAGCAACCCCCTCATAGGAGGCTCCAGCCAGAGTCAAGGGCAGCCTCCGAGAAGCCAGGAACTGGGTCGCTGCCTCTGGAAGGAGAAGATGAAGGGACTGTAACTGCTGGGGGTCTGGTTTCCTTGCCCTTCTCACACAGCCGCTTTCCCAACTCACCCAGTTTTTGCCAGTGGCCTAGCGTATACTGGGGGATGCAGTTCTGAGGAGAGAAGAGGGGATGCGGGGAAATTTTCGTTGGTGACGGCCAAGCCCAAGTAGACGCCAACAGATACACCGGTCCCTGCCTCCAGTGGGAGCCGAGCAGCGCGTCCTCAACTCACCTTGTGTAAGTGGACCAAGCAGTGACTTGGTGGCTCCTTCAGCCCTAACTGGGTGGCAGCCGCGTGCTGTGCCTGCTGTCGGAACAGCTCCTGAGATAAGACAGAGCCCCTGGCTTCCAGCGTCTGTAACCAGGATCCTCCCAGCATCACCTAGGGAGAGAACGTGGCACTGACAAGCCTGGCCTGACCTAGTGGGCACAGAGGGACCCTCTGGAAACCCCCACTAAGCAAAGCTGCTGCTTCTCACCGTCACACGGAGGCCAGGGGGGCTCCCGTCCTGCTCAGGAAAAGCAACGGAGTCATACACGATTCCCAGGACGCCCGGGTCTTCTGAAGATGGCACCAAATGGCCAAATCCCTGGAGGAAGGAAGAGCCCGGGTCAGGAAGGAGGGTTCCGGTTGGGCCTGTGGCTCTCGTTCATCTGTGCCCACGCCCACCTGCACAGGCAGACGAGCTCCTCGGTACTGGAGGTTCACCACAGCCACGGACACAGCAGGGATGGTGCTCAGGGCATGGGCCAGAGGTGCGGCCTGGGCAGGGAGCAGCCTGCTGAGCACTAGGGGACAGCAGCCAGGGGCCTGCTTCAGGAGGCATTCACAGCGTGGTCCCGTGGGCCCAGGAAGCTACGCTTGGCCTCACTATGGCTGGGGATGGAGAGGGGGGCTACCCCATTACCTGAAGCTGGAACAGCGCTAACCACGTGGTCTGCCTCCAGACTGCTGTCCCCCAGAGACACCTGACAGGATGAAAACATGTGAGAACACAGAGATATTGGGAATTTTGCCTCAGATTCCCAGGCACCGAACTGGCAGGAGACACTGAGTGCTGCCCCAGGATGAAGAGACGCCCCCCCTGCAGTCGGCACAGAGCCCACCCCCACCATCACTCCAGGCAGTGGGCCGGAGGGAAGCCAGCGTGGCCACTCGGAGATGTGCAGTGGGGCTGGGCTGACCCTTCCCCTACCTAAGCCACTCACAAACACCACTTCTGTCCAGAGTTGGATCCAACAGGTCTTGGACGAACGTCTACAAATAAGGCCCAAGACCCTAAGATAGCCCGTGTTTAAATAGCATCTAGGGCAGGAAAACAACGAGTAACTAGTCCTGCCAACCCTGGCCATTTAGGCAAAGATGGAGGCAAACTCGTACACACACATTACACACCAGGGGGCTCTCCTACCTTCCAGTGCCCTTCTGCCTGGAGGCTGAGCCCACAGACAGGCTGCCCTCTGAGAACACGAACCCCCCTACTAGTCAGGTGGGTGTTAAGGGCCTGGGGCAACGTCTCCAGCCCTCCACGCAGTGACCACTGGCTCCAGCGCTCAGCTCGGGCCCGGCGAATGAGTGCTGAGTCCACCTGTGGGCCCCGGCCTGCACATGAGGAGGCAAAGAAGGATCACTGAAACAGCACCCCTGACCTCCAGTCCCTTACTCCAGCGATCCTTAATATCTTTGTCCCTTGAACCAGCACCCCCACTCACCTGCCCCCAGCAGCAGCCCCAGTAAAACAGAACGATGGGTTTGCTCAGCTTGGAAGAGACTGGGAAAGCAGGACCTGATGCTGAGCTCCCGGCTGTTGCCTGCAAACACTCCTCGGCAGAGACTGTCCATGGCTAGAGATGCCACCTTGAGGGAGAGACTGGCAGTGAGAGGCCAAGGAAGAAGCTGCACAGACTACTTTCCTGTGCCGCTGTGTCGTAGGGACGGGAGGTGGACTAGGCTTTGGGGTGGGGAGCAGTCCCCCTATAACAAAAGAATGGGAAGGAAGTGGAGGAATTTGGTCTCAACGTTGAGTTTTGGGGACTACTGGGGGTGAGGAGAGGGAGAGGATGTTCCCAAATGATACAGAAGAGCCCCTAGGTGGAAGGTTTGAGCAGGGGGCTCTGCTGCTGGTTAGGAGGAGAGGGACTTGGGGGCCTCTGGGCCGTGTTACCTCAGGTCCAAGGCGGCGCTGGGCAAAACTGTGCACAGTCTCATCAGGGTCTTTGCCCCTGGGCGTGGTCAACTCCTTCAGTCCAGCCCAAAACAGAGGTTTGGAGAAGGGAGGTGAAGGGCGGAATAACCCCCTACACGGAGGAAGGCATAGTCATTTCTGTTCATCTGGCTCCTCTTGCTGGGAGGGCGGACAGACTGGGAGATGGGGAGATGGAAGGGGTGAGAGCGTGCGGGCAAGGCAGAAAGGCGGGCAGTAAGGAGGTGACAGCATTACCTGAGGCCAGACGGCAGCGCGTGCAGGGCACCACCCACATACAGGAACCTGTTCTGGGCAGCTGGGTGGTCTCCCCGGACAGGCAACACTTCTGAGTCCAAGCCAAGCTCAGAAACCTGCTCTCCACACATCCTCAAGAAGAGGAGAAACTAAGGAAAGGACTGGCCCACCAATACTTCCTCCCAAGTCTGTCTGTCCTCTAGTGAAGGCCCCTCTGGCAAGCCCTCCCGGGCATTCCGTAATCCTCTCACCAGGAGCAGGGTCCGGGCTCCCAGGGCTCCCGCCGGCCGAATTCCTCGAGGTCCAAGTTCAAAGATAGCATCACCTGGCCCTCGGACCGAGCGGATCCAGCCTCCCAGACGCTCACTGCCCTCCACCAGGACCACCTGGGGACAGGAGGGAGACACGCTGCACGACCTACAGCCTCGGGGTAAAGGGTCCGCAGGGGAAGACGGTGGCGCGCTCCCTTTAGCCGGAAACGGGAGGAGAGTATTAAAGGAGGCTCCCTCTGGCACGATGGGGCACTCACCTTGGGGGGACAGGGGGCCCGGCTCAGGTGGTAACTGGCGGCCAAGCCGCTGATGCCACCGCCCAGCACGACCACGGTCCGGCCCATTGGGAAGCCTAGGGGAGAGGGGCGATCGGACAGGCTGGCCGCGGAGCACCCTGCTCTGCAGAAGCCCCCCGCAGGTTCCACGTTCCACCCCCGGCCACTCACTGCTTCGGGGGAAACTACGGCAGAGCCGGCGGACGAGGTGGGGCCAGTGAGTTTCCCGCCCAGGGCCCAGGACTCACCCGCGAGAGGACGGAGGGAACCAGGGGGAGAGCAGGTCTCGGGGCCCCCCGGCCGGCGCTCGGCGGGGCGGGGGGGGGGCAGATAAGAGCCCCACCCACGCTATCTGCCAGCGCAGGGCTCGGGGTGCCCCCGCGGCCCTAAGGCCGCCGCTCCGTCCGCCCTCTTCGGGCCTTTCGACTCCGCGTCCACTCCCTCCCGCGGCCCCGGGCTCCCCCGCCTCCGGATTGGTGGCCCCCGGGAGGCCCGGATCACGTCAGCCAATGAAAGCACAGAGCTGGCGGCGGCTCCGCCCACCCCGCGGAGCCCGGCCGCTGCGTGCGGCTGCGGCTGCGGCGGGGAGCGGCGCTTGACTGGTTGGTTCGGCGCCAGCCGGGGGAGGGCGCTCGGCCCGGCCCGCCCCGGCCCGGCCCTGCCAGCCCCCAGGGCTGCGGCGGCGAGGGCTGGAGCCCGGTCTGCGGACCCCGGCTTCCCAGGCCGGGGGAGGGTGACGGCCCGCGGGGAGGCCACGCGAGCGCGGGGTGTGCGGAGAGCAGATAGGGACGCTGGGGCTGCTCCGTGGGGAGGCGGCGCCGTAAACAGCTCCTTGATGTTGGCAACAGCCTGGGCCTACGGGAGCCGGGGCCGCCCGGCAACGTGCCCCGTGTTTGTCAACAGGGGTCCTCGGTGCCTCGCCCTCGAGGGGCAGCCCCCTTCCGGGCAGAACCCGGCGCCCCAGTGCTTGCACCGGCTTCTCCGCAGCTTCACGGGGCCCCGGTTCGCCTTCCCTCTTTCCCCCCAACGTAGACCTTCGCTGCTTGGGCAAACGGCGGCACCCGCGTGTCCGCGTCCGGCACCCCCGGCTCCGAGAGCACCCCATCTGTTCAGAGGGAACTGGGTCCGAGGAGCACTCCCAATTCGGCCCAGTTCTGTATCCACCCCCTAAGCACAAATAGAAATAAGGACATCACGTTTTCTTAATAAATTTATTCACAAAAAGTGAGATTGTAGAGGGGCTGGGGGCTGTACACGGGCAGGGGCCTGGGGAGCTCTGTACATGGGGCTGGGAGACAAGGGAGCCTCCAGGTGGAAGGGTGCTTTTTAATAAAAAAAATAATGGGAGCTACAACCACCGCCTCCCCCCTCCCCGATTAAAAAGACACAAAAATAGACGTCTCTGAGGTAAATGGGGAGCCTGGGGCTTAAGGGTGTTGAACGGGTTTCACAGGTGCCAGGGCTTAAAGGGGGTGTCACAGGCCCCGGGGTGGCTCCTGCATCAGTTGGTAGAACAGCACGTAGCCCTCACTGGACGCCACCTGGTTTTCACTGACAGGGGAGACACTGGGAAGAAGGCAGATGGGGTAGGGGTTGGGGTCACTCCTGTACATCCCCTGCTCCCCACCCGATCAACCTCCCAGCAGCTGGGAGAGCACTGTGCTCTCCCGGGGCGCTTCGTATTAGGGAAAAGTGTGTGTGCCGTGTGCGCGCTGCAGCGGGAACGGGGCAGGAATGGCGAAGGGAGGCTGTTCTCACCGAGAGTCATTGTACACATGCCAACCAGTCTGGCACCGGCACAGGGCTGTGTAGTGGCCATAGTGGACGCTGCCCGAGTGGTTGCAGAGGGCATACAGCTGATAGACGGGGCTTCCTGAGGGGTTAGAGGCCATCGAATTCTGCCGTCAGAGCTGTGCCCGCGCCCACTCTCCCTCCCCTTCAGAGGAACTCAGCAGGTCCTTCCCTTCCAGACTCACCGGCTTTGTCACTGGCAAAGTCCCCTAGGCTCAGTCGCTGCAGCGGGAAATCCACACCTACTGAACTTTTCTTGATAGAGCCTCGGGAGGCGGAAAATCGATTAAGATCTAAGCCCGAGTTAAGGAGCATTTGGGGGGCCGAGGTCGTGAATGGTGTCCACACTCCCCTCTGGGAACACACCCTGGGAGTGTGGTGGGAAAGGTCAATTCCCAAGTGTGCCGCCTCTGCAGACATGGAGCATGGGGGGGGGTGGTAAAACGACGGGAGAAGTAAGAATTTGAGTTTTAGGATACGGAGCACGAGAATTCGGGGGAATCTCTGTACTGTCAACTTTTTGGTACTTCGTGTTTTCTGCCGACATCGGTCACACACCTGAATAAATGTCAAATAATGTCATGTTAATGCGCTCCTCGCCTCCACTGGCTTTTCTGACCCCTGACTCGCGCACCGATTCACTCTGCTCCCCGTGACTTCTGTACCCTCCGGGCTACTCCCCTTGGCCCGAGGATTATCAGGACACATCTGAGACTCCAACACAAGCCGCGACATCCACGTGTTATTCCCCATACCAAAGCATCATGCAACCCCTTTCACCCACAGCCCCCCGCCTCCCCAGGTCTCCCACCCCTACTGTAGCCCTTGTGAAACTTCACATACTGGAGCATTCTCTGACTCTAGCTCCTCTTCCTTGGTGAAAAGGCTGAAACAATCCCGCAGAGACACCTTGCCCCCAGCAAATCCTTTCTGGGGGGAGGGGAGGGAATGGGAATGAAAGGTCAGCGTGTTCTGAAACTTCCTTCTCCAAGTCTTCTCAACCAATCCAGGCTTCAGTTCTACTCCAGAGACCCACAGGGCTCCCTCCCACGCTCTGGGGGTGGGGAGGGATGGGTCACAGAACCCATGTCCCATCCACCCCTGGAATCCTCTGGAATCCCACCTTGGGGATGGGCAGGGACAGGTCACAAAAAACCTCGAAGGTCGTGGAGCGATACCCACAGGCCTGGCACTTGAGACAACTTTTCAACTGGCCCACAAACAGGTCTAAATGGAAGAGAAGAGGCAGGAGAAACAGTCACTGTGGGGTGCCTGAGATTCCTTGGGTCCCCGTCTTTTCCCACCCCTCTGCCCGTCCCCTCCTTTCCCAAGGCCAGCACTCCTAACAAACCCCTCACCCCGTCCGTCCACACTTTCATCGTCTAGTCTTGTCCCCACACCCCTTCACAGTGTCAATTCCTCTCCCAAGCCCGCCCCCCACACACACACCAATCCTCCTGTGCAGCTTTGCCCACTCCGTACCCACAATCTTGCTGTCTTCTCGCTCCAGGTAGCGCTTCCACATTAGGTTGGCTCGGTCATCATCACTACCGCAGATCAAGGGAAGCAGGAGCACCCGTGAGACAGGGGGCATCAGAGGGCACCCCAGCACCACGGAAAGGACCCACAGTCCTGCACCCCACCCATACCCCAGCTCCTTCTCGACATTTCAGAGAAGTGGCAAAGGAGTAACGCTTCAGAAGACTTTTGGGGGAAATCCAAGGTGAGAGGAAAATAAAGGAACAAGAGAAGAACAGCTGACTTCCCTGAGCCTTAAACCCTTTATGTGCCTGGCTGTGAATTAGCTATCCCCTCTCCCTCCAGCCGAAGGACAGCCCTACCCTAGCCTCAGCCTGCATCCCCACCCCTTAGCCTCCTTCCTCCTCCTTCTGTGCTGCTTCTCAAACCATCTTCTAGGCTGAGCCTTTGCCTGGACTGAGCCTTTCCCATCCTCATTCCGTGAAGGATGCATGCTGCTGAGAAAGTGCCGGGAGGGCACGGGAGGGACAGTGACCTTACCTCAACTCGGGTTCCTCCAGCAGCACTCCTCCCCGGCGGGACTGAGAGGGCGCTGGACTGCTGGCCAGGATCGGCGGAGCCCGGCGGCCCCGTCGGTTGATTTCGAGGTGTAGCCGCTCCATGAGGAGCTTCAGGAACTCTTGGGCATCCTGCTGGCTACAGCCAGAAACAAGAGTGTGGGCAACTGTCACCTCCCCCACCCCCGTCCCCGAATCCAAAGACACTAATCTCCTGCCCAGACATCGGTCCCCACTTCCTGGATGAAGAACATCCGACGGCTCCGAACAGCGCCACCAGGGCCCCGGCTTGGCCCAACCCCCAGACATGGCCAGAGAGAAATCTCATACCCTCTAGCTCTCCCACCTGTATCCGGAGAAGGAGGGAACGTATTTCTGGAAGACAGCTCGGAACCGAGTAGGATTCACAGCTTCACAGGAGTCAGGGTGCCACAGGGCACCAATCACATCTGCGAAGGCTGTTGGGGTGGGTGTGGGGAAACAGAGGTTCATGACTGGAAGAGGCAAGCCCAAGCAGGCTCAGAGGGTGGAAAACAATCTCTAGGGAAGCAGGCACCAGCAAAAAACAACACAACAGCCAGATTTAAGGGTTGGGGCCACCGTGACTGGCGGATGGACCCCGAAGTTGGGGAGGCGACTGGCGAGGTGGGAGCAGGAGTGGTTGCCCCACCTTCAGTGAGCTCTTGGGCTCGGCCCCCTCCAGGCACCTCTTGCCGGAAGTCCCTTCGCAGACAGAAGTCCCGAAGAGGCCGAGTGCTGCTCAAACACTGTAGCACTGCGTTCAGGAAGCACTGGGGGAGCAGGAGAGACACGGCCATTATTTCTGCAGACCAGGGCCAGGAGGCCTAGAAGAGCTTCAGTGCTCTCCTTCCCCACCCTCCCGCCTTCCCCGCGTCAGCGCCCCTCCCCCAGCACCATTCCACATTCCTGTTAGAGACGAAGGGCAGGAGAGCGGCTCTCACCGTGTTCCCCAGATTTCGGAGGCCAACATGGCCGGAGCCCAGAAGCAGTGTGTGATGAGCCTGGAAGGTCAGAGGTGAATCGGCAGGGTCCCATGTATATCCCACCTGGCTCTTTAACCTTTCAACAGCATGCTGCCCACTGCTTTCCCACCCCTGAACCTCACGCCCAAACTCCACCCGCTTTCCCTCACAGGGTCTTGGGGGCTCCCTACCTCACAGGCCATGAACAGTAAGCCCATCACGGCTGAGTGTGCCACGGACTCAGCCAGGGCTGTCCCACCTGTTCCCCACCTACTCCTCTGCCCAGCCAGCCGGCGCTGCAGCTCCTGGGGCAGCTCCCCAAGCACTGGCATGGCTGCCCAGCTGCTCCCCACACCCACCCTGCTTCTCCCAAAGCCCCCTCCTGCCCCCGTGGCCCCTTCCTGAACCCTCTCCTGATAGCTCCAACTGCAATCAAACCTAGCTCACTTAGCTCGGGAAATGGACGACCACACTAACTCAGATGTTCTGAGCCCGCCCCTCTTCAGCTCCAGAGATTAATTAGGCCTAGGCAGCATCCTAGGAGAGAAGGTGAAGCGAGGGAGAGTAAGGGCCTGGGGACCCAGAGAAGAATTCCAAATGGTTGGGTTAATTCCCTGGAGACTGAAATGGCACACCACG